ACGTAATGTATTACATCTTAATAACTTGCGAAATGCAGTCGTGTTTTACGTTTCACATTATTCATCACCGAATCTTTAACTCGACCATCGAGTTCCACCAGCAAAAGCCGTGATTTTAACGTGACATTTTAATATCTTGAACCGTTTGAGCAACAAGGGGCGTCACCGCGACAGCGCATTTGGCGAAAAGGGCGTTACCGCCGTGGAGACGATGTCACTTCCTGTGATGGCACACACGAGTGATGTCACTTCCTGTGATGGCACACACATGAGCGATGTCACTTCCTGTGATGGCACACACATGAGTGATGTCACTTCCTGTGATGGCACACATGAGTGATGTCACTTCCTGTGCTGGCACACGTGAGTGATGACACTTCCTGTGATGGCACACACGTGAGTGATGTCACTTCCTGTGATGGCACACACGCGAGTGATGTCACTTCCTGTGATGGCACACACGCGAGTGATGTCACTTCCTGTGATGGCACACACACGAGTGATGTCACTTCCTGCGATGGCACACTAGTGATGTCACTTCCTGTGCTGGCACACGAGTGATGTCACTTCCTGTGATGGCACACCGAGTGATGTCACTTCCTGTGATGGCACACACGCGAGTGATGTCACTTCCTTGTGATGGCACACACGCAAGTGATGTCACTTCCTGTGCTGGCACACACGCAAGTGATGTCACTTCCTGTGATGGCACACACGCGAGTGATGTCACTTCCTGTGCTGGCACACACGCACACGTGAGTGATGTCACTTCCTGTGATGGCACACACGCGAGTGATGTCACTTCCTGTGATGGCACACACGCGAGTGATGTCACTTCCTGTGATGACACACTCGTGAGTGATGTCACTTCCTGTGCTGGCACGCACGTGAGTGATGTCACTTCCTGTGATGGCACACGCGAGCGATTTCACTTCCTTTGAAGTCATCGGTTTCGCGGTCACTTCCGGTAACATCACATTTTAGTAATCAATCCAAATCAATTCGATTTTCCAGATTATAATTAGCAATCTCGGTCCATTTTTTTCTCAGATGCAATCCAAAAATTATTAAAGCATCCATCATGCTGGCCTACCGATCCTCCTCTTAAACACGCAAACGTTGTCTCGGCATCAACCCGAGTTGGCCCAACGTTGCAGAATGTTTACTAGACCCTGTATATGTAACAGGGCAGCAATCGAACCGAGGTCTGTTGTAGTATTAAGCAGTACAAGGACCCACCATGATAAGGGTTCTTCTTACAGCACGCAGCCACGCGATTCAACACACAAAAAAAAGATCCCCTGTGTAGCCTACTGCACCAGGTACTCGCTTAAGGCTGAGTCGACCTAGAGGTGGCGCAAGACCGGTTCAGATATCACTTGCCACCGATGTTGGCTGAACTCAGGTTTGCCAGGGACACAGGCTTTAACCGCGCGCACGCACAACAACAACCGCCATTCGCCACTAAGTGGCGGTGATGTCACCACGACGCTTGTGCCAGGCCATGTGCATGTTGAGGCCACGTGAAGTGTCGAACGCCCGCTGGCACGGGTCGACTGAGATGACTGATGCACCGCCTGTGCCCCCTACTGTGCCAACTTGCTGTGCGCGCATGCCCACACACGTACACACACGCACACACACGCCCGCACACGCGCACGAACACACGCGCACACACGTACACGCGTACACACACAATGTGCGCACACACACGTACACACACGTACACACACACAAATGTGCGCACACACACGTACACACGTACACACACACACGCGCACACACACACACACAAGTGCCCACACGCACACGCGTACACACACACAAATGTGTGCACACATACACACACACACGTACACACACGTACACACACACAGACATCTTCATTTCAACCAATCCACATCATCGTCGTCTTCTTCATCATCTCCGAAGAGCGGAGGTGGTCCAGGTTTGTCAACAGGACTCTGAAAGAAACCACGAACACGATCGCTCGTTACTGCGCGTGCAAGCCCCCCCCCCCCGCACAGTAGCGGAGTAACGGTCGGCAGCGCCGCCCGATTTTCCATCTTCCGGGGCACGGCAGTGGAAACGATGGGGGGAGTGGGGGGGGCGAGATTCTTAAACCACCCCAACTCCCCCCGGTGTTATAACGGTGTGTATTCTACGTTGTAACGGTGTGTTGCGTTATAACGGTGTGTGTTATAACGGTGTGTTGCGTTATAACGGTGTGTGTTCTGCGTTATAACGGTGTGAGCGTTCTGCGTTATAATGGTGCGTGTTCTGTGTTATAACGGTGTGTGTTATAACGGTGCGTTCTGCGTTATAATGGTGTGTGTTCTGTGTTATAACGGTGTGAGCATTCTGTGTTATAACGGTGAGTTCTGCGTTATAATGGTGTGTGTTATAACTGTGTGTTGTGTTATAACTGTGTGTTCTGTGTTATAACGGTGTGTTCTGCGTTATAACGGTGTGTGGTGTGTGTTATAACGGTGCGTTCTGCGTTATAACGGTGTGTTCTGCGTTATAACGGTGTGTGTTATAACGGTGTGTTCTGTGTTATAACGGT